GATCATTTTGTTGTTGTCCATGCTTTACTCCTGGAGTAGTGAACCTGGCAGCCTTTGATTGGTTGTCAATATTAAATACTCACCCCAAATTAAAATATTATTGAAATTGCACCTTTCATACTTTCAAAATTTATAACTTGTTCCCTTTTCTTGCAGTAACATCATCACTTTACACATGCGTGGCACCTCCCTACTTTCAGCTTTCTAGAAAGGTAAGCTAGGCTTACCACATTTTTATACTACCCTCTCTAATAGAGGTGGAGCCCACCAATACAACGAGACCCACCTCTATTAAAGAAGTGATACACAATGTGGTATAAAAATATGGTAACCCTAGCATTTTCCTTCTAGAAAACAGATACTTGATAGAGCTAGTCTTTTGGACCAAGATCACACGACAACATAAGTGGTTAGATGTGGTCAACAAGGGCGGTGAAATCTTAAAAATTATTCTTGCCTCAACTCAATAACTGCCCTTTCACTATTTCAACGGTAATCTACTTGTTTAAATGAAGAAGCCCATATGATTACAGACTACATACGGGAAGCCACACATGTACAGAGCATTAATTCAATAAGGTTTCCTCAAGCACTTATTCATTACTTTCTCTAATTATTCTACTAATCACCTCCATTAACCTAGACACTCAATTAGTTTTTGCTCAGCCACGTTTACCTGTCCAAGTCCTGTTTTCCCAACAAAGGCAACTACACCACCAACAGCACTTACCACACAAACCTCGACAGACTTCTATCAGCCTCCCTCCTCTCCAATATGGTAACGGCCACAGCTTCTACAGCTCCTCATCCGCCCAAAACGACTTTGAAAGAGTCTATGCAATCGGGCTCTGCAGAGGAGACATTAACCCCGATGCATGCGGTAGTTGCCTCAGTAACTCTACAATTTCCATCGCACAAGCTTGCCCTAACCGAAATGGGCAGTTCTATGGCGGGACTATTGCATGCTACGCTACTCAAACCGCTCCATACGTGGCTTCATGGAAGCCGGTCCGATTTTTTATACCACTAGCTCTGGCAACGTGTAGTCATCTGACATTGGAGAGTTCAACCTGATAAACATGGCAGAAAAAGAGATTTAGGTTTTGAGTTTTAGTGAGAGAAAGTTAAAGAGAGAGAAGCTCTGTATATTTCTCTCTGAAAAATCTTATACATCCCAAGTTAATCTTAAGCAGAGCTTAAGCTTAACCTTATATAGCTAACTAACATTACTTTTCCTGTAAGTAAACTATACTAACATACACGTGTATTCACGTGGACTAAACACTAATAAGCACGTGAACAATCGAGCTCTCTTTAAACACCAAAGCAGCAGCATACTGTTACGCAACCGGCAGCTCATGACCCTGCTGGAAAGACTGAGAGGTGAAGCATTGGTTTGGCCGCGGTTACTAGAAAAAAAAGCTGTAAAAGCCCTGCACATGATTATATAGGTTTGTCAGGACGATCATGGCCTCGTGATTACTATATGCGTAACGCGTTGTTCAAACACTATGGCCCCATCTCCACTGTTTGGCAACCAAGAAAATTATGAGACTCTCTGACTCTATATGTAATATATATAATTGACATGAGACCAATACTCTGTGCGTGTGCGTGTGTGTAGGGTTTTGAGCAGTTCAGGGCAACGACGCCAGTTGCAGCCTTGAAAGTGGGATGTGCATGGTTTATGGCAATCCATAGGTGACCCCCACAGTAGGTCCATAATTCCATTTCCATGATTCAAATATTGGATACAGCAGGCCAGAATATATATATCTCATTGCGCTTTTCTGTTAATATCTTTTCTTTCTTCTAGCAATCATCCGTATGTGCTCAACTTGTCTAGCTTTATACGAGAGAAGAGACTGCATGTCTGCAATGTTTTATTATTGCTTTGTCAGTCGTTCTTGATACCATTTTTTATTTATCGTAACCAATATTCGTTGATTCGGGTGCCGATCAAATCCAAAATATATGCTGATCTTTGATTAGACTATAAAATCAACAAGCTTCAAGAACACCGATCGATGATATGCATTTTATTTAACACATAAAACGTGGAAAACATTTTTAAAAGAAAAATGATATTCACACGCTCAAAATTGTCATCATACACTCTCTAAAACAAAAATAAAAACATATTTCTAAATTGGTTAGTAGGGTGCTTTAATACAAGAACCATTTTGTGTGTGCTTTTAATTAAGTTTCGTGTTTGAATGTGATCCATGGACGAGTAAATAAGGGCCAAATATTAATTCAAGTTTTAGCAATGAGTGATATAAGTTTTGGTATGTTTGTTTTGTAATTGGCACTATATGATTGATCCTATAGGCTATACCTATAGCTAGAGGGAGGCACTGTCTGAAGTGGCACTGGCCCATTGAATTACTATCAGTTGTCGACAGATCACATATAAAGCCAAAGCCTAGCTAGGATAAGCTAAACCTAATTCGTGTTCTACCAAAAAAAGCTAAACCTATTTTGTCTCATTTTTTCGACAACAAAATGATACGCATGCAGCTAGCAATCTTATGGAGGATCTAGGATCATCATGTTCAAAATTTCAACCCAAATGTTTGATGTGATGTCAAAGTTCTGTGTGGAGTGGTCGCAGCTTTCTTGTTCTCTCTCTCTAAGACTAAACTACTTTAGAAAAATAATTACCCAAATTTTGACTTCTTACTAAAGCCCAGAATTGATGAGAAAAGGTCCAGTATTGGTTTGAACCCATTACATTGGAACCACAGACAAGGAATAGCCCACAAAATGTTCCTTTGTGCCCAACAGAGCCGGTCCATTGATTTTCGAGGCTCTGTGCAAATATGGATGTCGAGGCCCTATATATACAAGTAGGAAAAAAAAATCCATATAGAAACAAAAATTTTTGATACGGGAAGAACACATTCGGAAAGAGCTTCCCAGAAAAATTTCTTTAGTCACCCTTCCAAATCACAGAGCTGATAAATTGATTTTCCAATTTAAATGCTTGGTGAATTCTCATTTGAATAAGGGAGGGAGAAAAGAACTGTGATTTTGGGGAAAGGGCTAAAGCTTGGGTTTTTACAATCCAAAATTTGATGGAAGAGGGTGGTACACTGGTACTGAAGATAAATGGCTTTATTTTGATGGAGGAGAGTGAGAAAGACTTGCTGAAAGAGAAAATAATATTAGAATGGTTTTGCAGCTTGAGAGTCGGGAAGAGGAAAACACAGGTTTCAAACCATAATAAATAAATAAAAAGAAGAGTTGCAGTGTGAGAGTTGGGAAGAGGAAAATGAATTAAATTAGGGCCTCTACTCTCTAAGTCGTAGAATTTGTTGATAATTAATATTCAATTCAATTTTGGTTTTGGTGCCTTACATGTGGTGTTGTGGGGTGATATTTAATATTTCATTTTTATTTTCATGTTTTAGTTAATTTAATGGGTTGACTTGGAAAAATTTGGAGGTCCTATGCGGTTGCACACCTTGCACACCCCATGGGTCGCCTCTAGTGCCCAATGAGGAAGAGAGAATGAAAGGTGGTAAGATACTAAGATGCATCTTAATAATACTAATGACATGCTTACTAATAATAATTCGGTTAAGAGGAATTGAATTTTAATTAGTTTTTCCATTATGAGTCGTATCCTTTTTGTAATTAATGGATATATATCATTTTGGTTTCTTTTTTAATAAGTGGAAAATGAAATATGAGTACTTGAGATATCTTTCAACATTGAGAAGATAAATACCACTAAATTAAGAGCTAGTTAATGTAAAATATCATCTTGGTTCAACATTTAAGTTTAGTGTTTGATCATGAATTCTTGTGTTGGTATCACGTTTTATTTGAGTGCGAGTGAGTTTAGGTTGAGCTTGGTTTGCGCCTAAAGCCTCAACCAGAACTCAGATCGAGTTTGATCAAGTTTACAATTTCTATTTGAGCATAATCTTGACGATGTTTCAAAAGGGTTGTGACAGTCTACCATTTTGTCCTTATCTCCTTTCCAAAAAAGAATATCGATCAACTAAGGAGGGTGTATTCAATTAGGATTATAAAGCGTTTAAAAAGATTTAAAAATCCTAGTGTATTCAATTTGGATTTATACAAACTTTAAAAGAGGTTTTGCAAGTCTGAGTGTAATCCAATTCTGACTTGTATGAACTTTTAAAAAGCCCATTCAAGGATTATAAAAAAGCTGAATCAAATCTAGGTGTGCTCAAAAGGTCATATATTTGGAAGGATTTCATTAAGTGATAAATTTTCGTAGGTTTTAAGGGGAGAGCTATATATAAAAAAGACCATAATAAATCCAACCTCCCCCCCAAGTATTTCGTCAGACGTTTTTCTCTCGCCCTAGCTTTTCTCTCTGCAATAGAAGACGAACAACCTCCTTCCTCCATATGTGAAGGTATGCTCCCAATTTTTTCTTTGATCAATACCTTGTTGGGTTTTCTTTTTCCATGATTTTTCTTCATCATTTTTTTTATTGTTATTAGGGTATAGTTTGGGGTTACATGTTTTACTTGTTATTAGGGTTTAGCTTAGGGTTAGGGTTTATGCTTGTTACGAGGGTTTATACATGTTTTTCTTCTGAAATATCTATATACGGCTTTATAAGAATTGTTCATTGAATCACTGGATAGGAAATTGAAATATAGTAATTGACAACCTTTCTATAATCGAACAAAAAAACTGAGACAAACTGAGATAAATAGTAAAAAAATGAAAAGCCAAAAATTAACTACAACTTTTAATGTTGTTTTGGAAGCTTAAACGACCTTAAAAGTCCAAAATCCACCATATTATACAACAAAGTTGTTAGTTTGACTCGTGGCATCGTTCTCTTTTTGGAAAGGTATCATACGTCCCAATCGGAGTTCAAAAGCCAAATATGTAAATTCCTACTGTGTCCTTTTTCCATTAATTCTTCACTCCAATTCTTCTTCAATCCATTCAGCCATTTGTTCTACATTGTTCATGTGTGTATTCAACATAAGACGTGTCTGTTAGGATCTATGGTTGCTGATGTACATTTTTTGGGATCAACGTTTGTAGTGTTTTATGGGTTTTGTATAATTTTTATACTTTATTTTTTATTGATATGATAAAATTCATAGCTGCACCACTCAAATGGAGTCAGAAAATACACAACAAGTAAATGGAAAAGGGAAGAGCAAACAAGATTATAACGCTCGGAGTGTGGAAGTTAGTAGAATGTTGTTGCAACTTATGGTTGATGCTGCATCCCGTGGATGGCGTGATGCTAATGGAGTCTGATAACTTTATTTCATGTTGTTGAAGGAAAAGATGTTATGAATTTGGTTTTTTATTTCATGTTGTTTAAAATTTTATTTCATGTTGTTCAACTAACATTAGTGTAATCTTAAAAAAGTTTATTAAAAAATATGTTAAAGAAATTATAGAAGTTTGGAATAAAATCCATACAAATATTAAGAAAGTTTATTAAAAAATTATATAAAAGTCTTCTGAAAGTCTATCAAGTTCTATACGAATTCTGAGGTTACATTAAGTTGTCTGAAATCTGGCACTTAAACAAAATCTTTTTAAACGCTATAGAATCCTAATTGAATACACCCCTTAAGGAAAGAAAGAGTAGAAAGACTAGACCAGATATTATAATTATCCAGGACGATAGACCGTATCTCTTCCTCTAGCTAAAGTAATGCATGATTTTGACCCAAAAAAAGAAGAGGCTAAGTAATGCATGACGTTTCCTGTGGGATAACATATTGAAAATGATCATCTGTTCTCCCAGCTTTATACTCGGAGTTGTAGACCGTTGGATTCACTATTAAATTCTCACCCCAAATTAGAATATAAACACATTTCATACTTTCAGAATTTATAAATTGTTCTAGAAAACATTTACTTCATTATATTGTTCTAAAACATTATTCTTGCCGGCCTTGTCCTCACTCCTCACCTTTCACAGTCACTCAACCACCGCCCTTTCACTATTTTCCAATGGTAATTTATTTGTTTATTTTTTCAATTAGTCAAAATAATATACATCACGTATATAATTTTAATCAATCAATTGTAATCAAAGAAGAAAACCATAATATTAATTCAATCAATCAATTAAATTAAAAAAAAAAAAAAAAAAAAAAAAAAAAAAAAAAAATTGTAGACTGCATATGGGAAGCCACACAAGGCATTAATTCAATATGGTTTCCTCAAGCTCTCATTCATTACTTTCTCTAATTACTCTACTCATCATCACCATTAACCTAAACACTCAATTAATCTTTGCTCAGCCACGTTACCTGTCGAAGTTTTGTTTTCCCAACGAAGGCAACTACACCACCAACAGCACTTACCGCACAAACCTCAACAGCCTTCTCTCCACTTCTCTCCTCTCCAACGGTAACGGCCACGGCTTCTATAGCTCCTCCTCCTCCCAAAACGACGTCGAAAGAGTCTACGCAATCGGGCTCTGCAGAGGAGACATTAACCCCGATGCTTGCGGTAGTTGCCTCAGTAACTCTACAATCTCCATCGCACAAGCTTGCCCTAACCAAAAGGTGGCAGTTCTATGGCGGGATGTTTGCATGCTACGCTACTCAAACCGCTCCATACGTGGCTTCATGGAAGCCGGTCCGATTTTCTATACCACGAGCTCCGGCAACGTGTCGTCATCTGACGTCGGAGGGTTCAACCGGCAGCTCATGACCCTACTGGAAAGATTGAGAGGTGAAGCAGCGGCTGGTGGTGATCTTGTTAAGTTTGCAGTTGGAAACGTTTCGAAAAATAATGTTATTTCTCAGACGATATATGGACTTGCTCAGTGTACACCGGATTTGACGGAGTCCGACTGCAACAATTGCTTAGTATCAATTGCTGGTGACATCCCACAGTGCTGTTATGGGAAGCTTGGTGGGAGACTTGGTACACCCAGCTGTAGCTTGAGGTTTGATGTTTACAAATTCTTTAATGACACTACGGCCGATACAACAATTACAAGAGGTATATATAAAAATATATCACCCCACTTCTACATTGGGATATATACCTTCAAGCTTTTTGAGGTCCACTACGAAGTTGATCCGAACTTTCTTTTTATTAAGTCAATTTTAATTGAGTGGTTAAATAGTTTTGAATTTGAATGATTTTTGGCTGACATGATCGTCGAGGGAATATCTAAAAATTAAATGATTCAGAGTGTCCTCTCTATATATATACACACACTAGACACTACACTATGTCACATCACATGGGCTTCAAACTTCCATATATACCACAATGAATAAATTTAATTGAAAATTAAATTTATTCAGCTTCTCTCTGAATGCTTTGATCATAGAATATTGATTTCTGATGATTTTTGCAGGAAAGAAGAGCACTATGTCAGCTCGGACTGTCATCCTTATTGTTGTGCCATCTGTTTTTGGTATGGTACTAACTATATCTACGTGGATACATGCGATGTTAAGGGAAACAGGGGAGGAAGTGCTAGGTGAAGGTAAGTTGATATTAGTTAGTTTCTCTTTAATTACTTGATCCACTGAGACAATTGCACTCGTCTTATTTTTGAATTTTTTTTATTGCTCATGTGAAGAAGCAGATGAAATTAGAAGTGCAGAAGCCTTGCAATTCGACTTTGCCTCCATTAGAGTTGCCACAAATAACTTTTCTGAAGAAAATAAGCTCGGATGGGGTGGATTTGGTGATGTTTACAGGGTATAATGACACAAATGTTTTGAGCAAAAAATTTATAAATTATATATATGTGCCTAAATGAGAAACAATATTGAAGTTGATTTTCAGATTAATCGCTTGAATGCAGGGGACGCTTCTCAATGGAGAAGATATAGCAGTGAAAAGACTATCTACGGATTCTGCACTAGGAGATTTGGAATTTAAAAATGAGGTCTTGTTAGTGGCCAGGCTACAACACCGCAATTTAGTCAGGCTCCTTGGTTTTTGCCTGGAAGGAAATGAAAGGCTTCTTGTCTATGAGTTTGTCCCTAACGCAAGTCTCGATCAATTCATATTTGGTATGACTGAATTCTAGTTTATTTCAATAATGCATTTCGGAAAAGTTCATTTGTGTGGCTACATTTTACAGATTACTAATTTTTCTTGAATATGTAGATCCAATCAAGTGCGCTAATTTGGATTGGGAGAGTCGCTACAAAATCATAGTAGGAATTGGACGGGGGCTCCCTTACCTTCACGAAGATTCTTGTCTTAGAATTATTCACTGTGATTTGAAAGTTAGCAACATTTTGTTAGATGCAGAAATGAACGCAAAAATTTCAGATTTTGGCATGACAAAGTTGTTTATGCTTGATCAAAGACAAGGCGAGACCAATCGAGTTGTGGGGACCTAGTAAGTATACTAAACTAGGCTAACTTCTGAGCATAACCATGCAAAGTTTTAATCCAAGTAAATTAAAGCTTATAATAGGCCTTCTTGATATGCAGTGGATATATGGCTCCTGAATATGTAATGCGTGGATACTTTTATGATAAGTCCGATGTTTATTGCTTTGGTGTACTAGTTTTGGAGATAATAAGTGGACAAAAAATTTGTTCTTCCCGCCATGAAGAGAATGAGGATCTTCTAAGCTATGTAAGTAAAGAAACATTCGGACCGATTTACACGAAAGAATGAAGTAAAACTATTCTCTAATATTGTGTTTATTCGCATTCACAAATCATGCAGGCATGGAAAAATTGGAAGGAAGGGACAGCTTCAAATATAATAGATCCCACCTTGAGAACTGGTTCAAGAAGTGATGAAATAATGAGATGCATCCAAATTGGATTGTTATGTGTGCAACAAACTATTGCTGAAAGGCCAACTATGGCTTCAGTTATTCTCATGCTTACTAGCAGCTCTCTCAGTCTCCCAGAACCCTCACAGCCACCCCTTTTTATGATCGAATTGGAGATGTCAGGTGTGGTAGGATGAGATCAGTCCAATAGCAACTCTGTCCAACAATCGGTTAATGAGGCCTCATCAATTACTGAACTGTCTCCTCGCTAGTGAGTGGATAAGAAGAAGCAGGTGATAAAAGCTACATAACTAAAGAAAAATAATTGCCCACATTGTGATTTCTCACTAAAGCCCAAATTCAATGAGAAAAAGGTCCAGTATTGATATGAACCCATTACACACAGAAAAGTGTAAGCCTAGGGCGAAACAGAATAGCCTACAAAAATGTGCGAAGAATAAAAATTTGAACTTAAAATCCCTTTCAACGTTAGTTGATATGAATATCATCTTATTCAATACATAATTTTGGGGTTTTCAAAGTTTAGTGTTTGATCATGAATTCGAGTGTTGGTATTAAATTTTATATGAATACAAGTGAGTTTAGGTTGAGCTTGGTTTCGCTTGAACCCTCAACGAGAACTCAGATAAGAGTTTGATGAAGTTGACAATTTATGAACCCAAACTCAATTAAACTCTCTCTAACTTGTGCATGCATGTTCAAATTTGAGTATTTTCTGTTTGAGCATACTTTACTTTTCTATATAATCTTGACGATGGTTCAAAGGGACAGTCTACCATTTTGTCCTTATCGCCTTCCTAAAAAAGAATATTCAGTCATTAAACCTGGATCAACCAACAGTTTTATCCCAAAATCGTTTACTTTGTCTACTTAACTAAAGATTGTGTTGAATTCAAAATATGTTTTTTTTTATAAAAAAAATATAGAAGGACAAGTCACCACATATTATAATTTCTCATAGATCTACATTATCTTGAGCAATTATCAGGACAATTGACCGTATCTCCTCCTCCGAAAAATGCATGAAGTTTCCTGGAATGATTAACTTATATACTTGAAAATGATATTTGTTGTCCATGCTTTACAACACCATCCACTCAACCACAGCCGCCCTTTCACTATTTCATTGGTAATTTACTTGTTTAACATATTGAATTAGTCAAATTGATATACATCATGTATATAATTTTAATCATTTACCTCTCATTCATTACTTTCTCTAATTATTCTACTAATTACCTCCATTAACCTAATCACTCAATCCGTGGTTGCTCAGCCACGTTACCTGTCCAACTTCTGTTTTCCCAACAACAAAGGCAACTTACCACACAAACCTCAACAACCTTCTATCCACTTCCCTCCTCTCCAACTGTAACGGCCGCGGCTTCTACAGCTCCTCCTCCGCCCAAAGAGACGTCGAAAGAGTCTATGCAATTGGGCTCACCCCGATTCTTGCGGTAGTTGCCTCTGGTGATGTGCCTGCCACCTCCAATCCTGAATATCTTAAGTGGTTTGATGCTCATCAACTCATCCTCAGCTACCTTAATTACCTCCACCCTTACTGTTGGTTGTGCTTCTTCTCGCGAGATATGAACTTGTCTTCAGACTCACTTTACTAACTATTATCAAAACAAATCCAGCGGGTCTTAGAGACCCCCATCACGCTGTCAGCCAATAAGGTGCCAGTCCAAGCTGGAGCAGACTCAAGAAGGCATACACCCAGATCCCCGTTGTAGCGTGAACTCTACGACAAGAAAAGCTCGCAAATCAGGCAGCGTGAACTCTACGACAAGAAAAGCTCACAAATCATTGTCCATGTGTTTAAATCTCTCTTAAACCAAAAATTTCATCCGGTCCTCTTCTCCGACCTAGCACTTACAATACATGAACAAATAATACTCTTGCATATATTGAAAATATAAAATTGAGAAACCCAATTTATGTGGGCAGAGGTTCGAAATCCAGACATCCAATGAATACGTGTGTAAACTCCTTCCTCCAATCACTTGCACTAAAAAGAGTCAACTATAAGAATTAGAAATTGTTATAAAGTGGTTTTTGTTTTAATGGAAAAATATTTCTATAAAATGGAAACCGAAAAATGAAATTGTATATTCAGGATCTGAAAATGTGACTCATAGCTTAATTAAAATTGAAGCTTGGTTGCAGCAATGATTCTTAGTATATACCTTTTCACATTTTCGTCTCCGGAATTTCAATAATATTTGATGTCGTACTCTAAGTGACACATTGTCATTTCTGTAAACACAACGAGATGGCTTAAAATTTTCTTGTGAGTATGGTGGCCTTCTTTCTTTGACAAGGCAAACAAAAGTAATTTTTATATAGGGCGTCAATTTTCTATTATAAGAAATATCGTAAACAAGCATTGGTGGCGATTATTATTTTAAACCTGGCGTGTGAACGAGATTGCTAAGAATGATGCCTCAGAAATTCTATATTATAGGTGCCCAGCTCATTGTCGCGTGATCTTTTAAAAATTTGGCTTGATTTTTTTATTTATTTTAATACGACACTTTCAAAACGTACGTTACGAGGATTCGAACTTGTCAATGTTCTTTTTTAATGTACCAGAATTCGTTGGCATTTTGGCTTTGCTATTAATAAGTAAATAACACATCCCTTTTACATAAAATTTTTACAACACATAATAAGTAAATAACACGTTCCTTTTACATAAAATTTTTACAAAACTTTGATATCACATTTACAAACTCATATTGTGAAACACTCTTAACTGCTTTTAAGAAGCAGTTTTATTGAAAGCAAAACAATAACAGACTAGCCCATATTGTCACGGCTCCCTGCAATCCAAACCTGAACAGAAGCCATGAAATACTGTATATCTTGTCCAACACAAAATTCTCCAACTTGAAACTCATTTCCACGAGCTCCATCCGGTTCTCAGCAAACTATAAAGTGGTCACGGAAAACACAGTCAGCAAATCGATCACACTCATGATCAATAGTACGTAATACCAAAAACAAAATAACAAAAAAATCCCTAATTTTTTATCCTGAGCATGCCACGGGGAATTGGCTTGAACCTCTATGCACTGAAATATATATATATATATATATATTAGAGAGAGATGGTACCGATCATTTACCTTATGAGTATACCCCTGAAGAGTGTGAGAAACGCCCAATACCCCTGCAATTCACAACTCATGACATTAGGAAAATTTATTGATATTGCGCGCGCGCGCACATATATATATATATATATATATATATCAATACAAGCTGACAACTGAGGGATCATTTACCTCATGATGATGCTTTTTTGGGGGATCGTTTCTGCCGCCGCCACCAGTTTTCCATTTTCTAGAAGAAAGGTGACTCGTCCGTTGGTATTGAAATACTGTGCTGGAAGGACCGTCGCTGTCCTCGTACCATTAGCAGTTGCGATGACATGAACGGTTCTGGGAACACCAGTATAAGAACTATGATCCAGGAATTTCTTCCCTCTTATCAATTTGCGACCCGCAGGTGGCATCTTAGCAACTAGCCTTCCCTCCGAGATATCACCTCTCTCAACCTCTCTTATTTCAACCTCCACCGTTGTACTGTTTTTAATCTCGGTCATCCGAGCAAACAAATCAAAAAAGTTCTTCATTGAGTAGCTATTCCATCCCAACCCTCAGGCTCTGCTCCCCAAGGCTCTTTAACCACTATATATTGTCTAGGGTCAGCCACACTGATAAAACAAGTGGGCCAATATTAATGTCAAAAAAACACAAGATCAACCTACTAATATTATAAGGGTAGGCATTGGAACCGATCAACCGGATTGAACTGGGCCGAAGGAGATTTAAATACTAAAAAATAAAAAAAGCCGAGTTCACCAAATAAATCAACTTAGGTTGAATACCAAATTGTACCGGTCCGATTTCAGTCCCAATTTTTGTGATGAATCTGCAGGTCGGTACGAAACCAGACCAGTTGCGTAAGATATTATTTTTTGGATACTGTTTGTGAAGGATGCATTTCTACTCTCTCTAAATCACGTTTTGACACATATACAAAAATAATTCTAAAAAATATAAAAGAAAAAATCTCTACACATGTCAAATTGTGATTAGCAGAAAAGTAATAATTCTTACTTCTTGAAAAAATTATGCTCTTATTTGTTTTAAATATTCATGTCCATTAGCCATTTCAAGCACAATTAGCCTAAAATATAGCAACCTAATACTTAATCCCCAAGCTCAAACCTATCTCCCTGCCACTTTTTTTTTCTCTCTCTCTCTCCCCTTCTTATGTGCCTTTTCTCTCTTCTTCTTTTTTCTCCTTCTGTCTTTCCAGTGGCGGATCTAGAATTTTTCCGAGGGAGATGCAATATTAACCAAAATAAATATTAATTAGTCAATATCTTCAATATCAGTGGTGGACTCTCATACTAACCAAAATCAATATCAATAAATTTAACTAAAATAAACATCAATTAATAAAATCAAAATTAATATCAAATTATAAATTAATCATAATTGATCATATTGAGACATGCTCAACTTAGTCTCTATGCTCGAGTTTGTTCTAGTTTAACAATGCATTACATTCTAACTTACTTTGAAAGCTTGATCGATACAATATTTTCTTTGGTTTGTCTGAGAATGTTCATGGCATGGAATTTCAAGATTTCATTTCGGAACCTACTTCTTTTTGAGAAATCTCACCATAGCTTTGCACGTCAAAGTTTTAAACTCTTATCTCTTTCATTGCACCACTTTGGACAACATGGTTTTTTCTTTGGTTTGTCTGAGAGTGTTCATGACATGGAAATGAGTTTTCAAGATTTCATTTTGAAAGTTTTTTTTTATAAAAAAAAATAGAAAATATGACCATAGCTTTGCACATTAAAGTTTTAATCTCTCATCTCTTTCATTTGCACCATTTTGAAAAACTTGGTTTTCTCTTTGGTTTGTCTGAGAGTGTTTGTAGCTTTTGGAAATAAGGGTTTCTAATATTTTTTGAAATCTACTTCACCCATTGAGAATTTTTTAGAGTAATTTTACTATGCATTCTCTACTTGGTGAAGTCTAGGTTTTTCATTGTGAGATTTTGAAAATGGTTTTTAAAATTTGCTGTGCTTTTAAAATATGCATATGGGTTCATTTTGACTAGTCAGATTCTTGGTTGATTTCTTGAAGAGTATGGTTTCTTGAAGGAATTGACAATTTCATCTCAAAATCTATATTTCATTATGTATGTTTGATCCAAAGTTGAGTTGCGATGCCATGAAGTGAAGAAGTTGATGGATTAGCTGTATTTTTCATGAAGGACAAGATACTAGCTCCACTAAGTTGGAGAAGAAGGTTGCACATGGAGGTAATGCTAATTTCCTAAATAGACCTAAAACTGCTTGAGCTTGTAATCTCTGTAAGAACCTTCTTGACTTAGTGGATCTAATGGTCGGATGATGACCCTCAATTTTTCCCAGTGATAAGTTTATGGGTGAACATTTAGCTGTTCTTGAAAAATACCATAGGAGGAGAGATGATTGACCACTGGGACTGTTCGATGCATCTCCTTAGTCAGTGATTGCCTTGCACATTTTATTTTTTCTTTTAACTGACCTGGTCAAATTTATGCAATTCTCATGGTAAAAAATAGCAGGCCAGAGGCCCAACTTTCTATCCAGCTTTCGACTCAACATAAAATGGCGGGCTTTATTATTATTATTATTATTAGGGTGCTAATTTTTCCACTATTTTTTTGTCCACTTACACGCCATTTTGTTTTTATAAAAAATACTTTTAACTATAACATACAAAGAGAGTATAAGTGGACAAAAGAGGAGTGGTAACATATAATTTCCAATAAGGAGAATGTAAGTGGACAAAAGAGGAGTGGGAAAATCAACTCCCTTATTATTATTTTTGGTTCTTTGATGAGGCAAGAAAATTGATAAAAGATGTCGTCCAAAGTCGAACTTTTATATAATGCGTTCATTTTCTAAATCAGTGGGGATGTGATAATTTCAAATTTCTCTTGTGAAACAAGGAAGGTTTCCTCTTCAACCGAAAGAGAAGAAGATGCCCTCTTATGTAAAGACAAGCACTACCCACATCCTTAATCATCTAGTAATTAAAGTCAATGGGATTTAGCCAAATAGAAAAAGGTTTTGATTTGCAGATAAGTGATTTCATGACACTTTGAAAGTATGTATGTGAGAGAGAGCTCTCTAATTATGTGGTTTAAACTATCGCTTATATTTAAAAAATTAAAAAAAAATCGTCCAAAAAGTAGTAATTAAAATGGTGGATAATACCCATATAATACCCGTAATTACAAGATATGGTGGATGGCACAGGTGCTGGGCGTGGGCCTTTTGCAGTTGAATTTTTTTGGGTTAATTTTGTCCTTTGCTACGCTCGACTCTAAAAGAGCTATACCTGATGGTTTCCAGGAAAGATGACTTGTTCTTACATGCGTGAATAATAATTGTTTAAAAGAAATAAAAATTGTTAAGCACCTATTTGTAATAAATTAAAAGTTTTTAAATAAAAAAAAACATGGAGCGACTTGTGGGTTATCGGCCCACCGTCTTTCGCTATAGCATTGCCTTTCGTTTTGCATTTTTTTTGTCCTCGTCAATTTGTATTCATTTCTTGGGTTGCTGTACCTACTATTTTGCTCCGACCCTAGTGTATTGAGTGGGACAATTTACCATGCATGCAATTATTTATTTGTTTTTATTTAAATATGAAGGAGAGCATCATGGGTAAGTTTTTCATTAATTATGGGGTGATTTTCACTTTTTTTCCCTAAAGTTTATTGAGTTTCAACCTTTATTACACAAAGTCTTTTTATCATTAACATTTCAAAAGTGTTTATTTGAGTCTTTTAACTTTGAAATCAATCAATTTTGTCCTTAATTGTGCTCAACAATTCAGTTTAGTCCATCTCGTTGCATTTTATAAAAAAAATATTTGTTAAAATTGGTCACGTAATCAACTTTAAGGCGTTATTTTTATCAAAACACTACCTATGTACTCATAACGAAAAGTAAATCTTATGTATTTTTCTTGATAAGGCTATCCGGTCTCGTTGATAGAACCAAAATGTAAAATCCTAAATGGAGAAATGATGTCATGTGATCAGACAAAATAAATACGGAAAATTGGATTAAACAAAAATATAAAACTTATATATATATAGATATTTGTAAATTTTTTATTATAAAAAAACTAAATCTCTCTCATGCTCCCTTTCCTCCTTCTTTCTTCAACAACCATGAACCTTAACCACCCTTCACCCCCTGTCTCGGTAGCCTCCATCCACCACCTATAGTGCAGCCTCTAGCCATCTCATCTAGCCCTTTCTCCCTATCTTCTTTTCCCCCCTCTTCCATCTTAGCCCGCCTCAAGCCATTGCCTCCAAACAACTGCGCCACACACCAAGATCTGTTGAAGATTGGCTCACTATTTGATGCGGGAAGAAGAAGAAACTAAAGGGGCTACAAAGGAGCAGCAAGAGAGAAATAGCATAAGTCGCAAGGAGGCAATATCACAGCAGGCGACCGATCGCTTGGCAAAACTACTGGGTCGTCACGTCAATTAGTGAGAGCTAAGTCGGTTCAAGATTGTAACGAAAGTTGTTCTTACATACTAGTGAAGTTCTTAGGTGGATCACCAAGAGGATGTAGGCATGATGCAGTCACTCTATAAATCTTTGTGCTCTTGTGTGTTTGTCTTCTCTCTTCGGTCTGCATGTGTTTTATTCTCAAAGGGATTTTTGTGTGTGCCGTTGCATAGTCCATGAACGACAAGGTCTTGGAGTATTTTCGCACAACAAGTGGTATCAGTAGCCTAGGTCGGCAGTAGGTATTGGTTTTATGCCCAAGTGCTCTTATAGTTTTAAGAGTGTTTGCAAGTGTTGACGATGACTGGCAACAAGAAGGCGGTGGGAGAAAGGTCCCAAACGAAGACACCACAAATGGATATCATGAAGCTCGAGGTGAAGATATTCACAAGAAAGGAGAACTTCAAGAAAGAAGAACTTCAAGCTATGGAGAATGAAACATGACCTAACCCAGCAAGGTCCAACCATTATCTTAGTAGGCAAAGAGTCAAGGTCAAAAACTAGGACAACAGAAGAGAGGGACATGATCGACAAGTTGGTTAGGGGGTCTTTCAAGGCGATGAAAGACATTGCAAAGCAAACACAGGTCAAGCTCAAATGGATGTTTGTAGGGAATGTCCCTATCAAATGAACACTTTATGTAGGAAGAGCTCATAAATCTTCGGATGAAAGAGGGTGGAAATCTCACAGAGCATTTTAACACTTTTAATCTGTGTATTACTGGCTTACAGAAGGTAAATGTGGTTGATAGCACGGAGGATGTGGTAATGATGTTGTGGGCACCGTTGCCTTCATCCTATGAACACTTTTGGAAGATGCTGATGATTGGCAAGAGTATTCTCGATTTCGAGGAGGTGGTGGAAGACTTGGTGCATCACGGGTTGGCTCAAAATTCTGGAGATAGCTCTCAAGGTGAGGGTCTATTAACATGAACCAAATAACAGGATTGTTCAAGCAAGTGCAAGGGCAAGAAAGGCAATGAGAGGAATCCTAAATTCAAGGACAATAAAAGGTGCTTCAAGTATGGGTCGACGGAGCATTGAAAACAAGATTGTCTGGTATAGAAGGAGAAGTGGAACAAGATGAACAATGCCGAAAGTTCAAGCGCAGCCAATGATGAACTTTTGACGGTTACAGAAGAGAAGTGTAATGGGGACGTCGTGGCAAGTTATTCGGATATGGGTTCTATTTTAGTTTGGATTTTAGATTCTGAATGCTCTTATCATGTGTGTTCAAAACAAGATTTTGTTAGGAGACAAAACAAGTTGTGATGTTTTGGGCTTGGGAACAATGAAGATCAAGATGCAAGATGGTGTTGTTGGGAGCCTTACTGAGGTGAGGAATGTGTTGGCACTAAGAATGAATCATATTTCCCTTGGTGCTTTAGATAGAGAAAGAGTATTCGTACAAGGCCAAAGAATAGAAGCTCCTAGTCACACAAGGTTCAGTAGTGAATATGAGGGGGAAGATTTAACCTAACAACATTTATTATCTTTTGAGGGGTACAATTGCAGGTGGAACAGAAAATTCTACCAAGATCGCACTTGTACCAAAGAAAAATGGGCAAGGGATCTTACTATCAAAGAGCCGATGCAATGGAATTAAGCTACTGGTTTGCTCACGACTAGTTGGGCAAAGAAGGTTAATCAAGGTCGTATAATTACCAGTTTATCATCAAAGGTGCTTGATTTCATAGTGGTTTCGGCTTCGACTTGTGTAAGTATGTGTGGTTGTATTTTGAGTGTTTTATTGTTTTGTTTGAATTTTTGTTTGGTTTTGGTAATTTTTTTCATTATATATTTTTTTCTAAACCGTCTAGTATTTTAATTCTTGTATGTTATGATCTTTTTTTGCTTTAGTACATTTCATTTCTTGTTATAACATTGCCTATGCCTAATTTTTCAACATTGAGGACAATGTTAATTTCTAAGTTTGGGAAGGGATACCAAGTCATTTTCGTTTCACTTAATTTCTTGCTTTGTTTTGTTTTTCTTGCATTATTTTGTTTTCTTTTGTTTTCAGTTTTGAGTCTTTTTTTTTTCCTTACGAGTCACTTTCTGAACATATATGATGAGATTGTGATGAATGTTTGCATGAGTTGATTCAAAATTTGAATTTTTTTTTAAATTATTATTATTCACTTAATGGCATCGTTCTAGCATGATATGTTTGAGACCTTCTATGCACTTGCCATGTGTTTCATAATTCTTGGTGTGAATGTTTTTGCTTTGTATATGTTGTGTCAGTTTTCAGAAAACTTTAAGTGTTCTTTGTACCTAAGTCTGTATATTTCTGTAAATGATTTTGCCATTTGGTTCTCATGGGTTCTCCATTTTTCTATGTTGAAGCCAACCATATAAAGAACGTGAAATTTAGACAACAGTTGGAAAGTTACAGGTCAAAAACTAGATAGAGGTCGAAGTTGAAAACAAGGCGCACACTTGGCCTAAAAACGACCGATGGTTTTGTTCGTGTGACCGGTCAACTTTCATCTTGTTTAAACATGCCACAAATTGCTTCAAAACGACCGGTCATGCACTATTCATTCATAACATTGTTTAACAATAAAAAAAATTAAAAAATTAAAATTTTTTTGGAGTCATTTTAATTTTCCTTCCAACTCTTGTTTATAACATTGTTTGTTCGTAAATTTCAAACATTCATGACAATGCTTACTATAAGTTGGGAAGGTTAAAAAAAAATCATTTTTATTGAGAGAATGTCTTCCCCCTAAAGCTTTGAAAAATGTAATTTTAGTCATAAAAATTACAAATGACAACAAAAGTCAAAATTGTTTGTAGACAAAGCACAATAGTACTTAACATAACTCTAAGGTTTGTGTGATTCATTGGTGACCATAAATACAAATATAAGAAATCTTGATTTTAGCCTTATAATATAGAAGGCATTGTCGTAAATTTTCAGGTTATTTTTCTCATACTTCTGTATTTTTTTTTTAATTTTTGTAAAATAAGAATAAAGAATTTAGGGTTTAGGGCATATTGAAATGACGCCGGTTTCTTCTCGACGGTTTTTGGTCAATTACACCCTTGGTCACGCACGTTCGAATCCCAAGAAAACCAAAGCTCACCTAATTATTTTATTTTTTAAGACTCGGTGTTAGTTTTTTGCGCCGCCGTGAAAAGGTTTTACTACGGCATAATCCATATATTACCGCCGTAGTAAAGTCGTACAACGGCCCTATACATGTTATAACCGTTGTCTTCATCGTGACCTTCAACGACTTTTTTAATGATCATTTTTGTATTTTTTTAGAAACGCGGGCCTTTGAAATATTTGACCGCGATCTAAAATTTTTGGAATTCGCCCTTCCTTGAAAACATTTCACTCTCTTTTCAACTCAAATTCTAATCTTAAAGTTTTCGCTCTCCATCCTCCGTTGTTTCTGATTGTGCTCTCCCTCTCAAAGCATTGGTGATATTATTTGAGCTCTGTCTACCTGTAAGTACAAACCTTAATCTCACATGCTTGTCCTACTTTATTTAATGATATTGCGTTATGGGTTCTCAAGTACAAACCTAATCTGACATGCTTCTTAAATCAATTAATGATTTTGTTTGTTTTGGTAGCTATGAGTTCTTAATATATATTTTGGGAGCTATGGGTTCCTAATCGGGAATGAAATCTGAAAAACCCATTTAATGTTTGCATGCTTTTCATAATAACTCTCTGTTATGTGTTTTTAATGCATGTTTGGTATGCTATGGGTTCTTGGAAATGATTGGGAATTGGAGATTTATTTTCTGGACTTTTGTATCATATGATAACGGTCATTGAGGCAAACCGTCGTCTGTATTGTCATTATACGTCGGTAGTTATGCAATTACCGTTGTATTAAATTTGTATTGCATTTTGAAGAACAATTTTCTGGGTTTTGGTAGCCTAAAGACAATGGTTATTGGAGATACCATCGTCTGTATTATTATAACACGACGATCTTTTGTAAATACTGTTGTTTGAAACTTGTGTTATTTGCTTTAAAAAAAAAATTATACTCTACTATGTGAATAATGTCGTCTGTCATTGCTTGTCTTTTCACTTTATTATATATATATGATTATATAGTGTGGAAGATGGATAAGTCATGGATGCATGCAGATAGAAGATCGAAGGCATATGAGTTAGAGGTGGAAGAATTTTTGAATTTTGCTATAGAAAATCTTGGAAATACAACACATATTCATTGTCCATGTGTAAAATGTGGGAATATTCGATTTTTTGGGGTTGGAATTATAAGGGACCACTTATACTTTAATGGAATTGACCAAAGCTATAAGATTTGGACATGGCACGTAGAACTTTGGGGATGGACTACTAATGATAGTAGAAATTTAGAAGAAGATGACGAAAGTAGGTACAGTTTTGTTTCTGAAGAATTAGAGATGGATGATAATGATTTAGGCGATATTGGATTTAATCCTTATGAGTTTACCAATGTGATTGGAGATGGAGATCAACCCTTGTACCCTGGTTGCAGTAAGTACATGAAGTTGTTGGCTTTAATGAAGTCGTATAATTTGAAAGAAAAACATGAAATGAGAGATGTCTATTTTACAGAATTATTGATACTTAAAAGAAATTTGCTTCTGGAAGGAAATACAATACCTTCTTCTATGTACAAGGCAAAACAGACTTTGTCTACATTGAGGATGAGTTATGAGAAAATCTACGCATGCCTCAATGACTACATCTTGTATAGAAAGGATTATGAAGATTCAACTAATTGTTCTACTTGTGGTATCTCAAGGTAAAAGAAAGGCAAAAATTCAATCTCGAAAGAGGATGTGCCAGCGAAGGTGGTGTGGTATTTTCCGCCAATTCCAAGGTTTAAAAGGATGTTTTAATCACATAAGACAGCTAAGAGTTTGACTTGGCATGTTGATAGAAAATCAATTGATAGTCATATATCTCATCCAGCGGATTCCACGTATTGGAAACTTGTTGATGATAGATGGCCCGAGTTTGGTAAAAAGAGAAACTTGAAATTGGCTCTCTTATCTAAAGGATTCAATCCTCACAGTTCTTTAAGTAGTGATACATTTGTTGGCCAGTTATCTTAGTTACATGTAATCTCCCACCATGGCTATGCATGAAATGAAAGTTCATAATGTTGACCTTATTGATTTGCGGTCATAAACAACCTGGAAATGATATAGACGTCTACTTAGAGCCTTTGATTGATGATTTAAATTCTTTGTGGGATGAGATTAGATGAGTGAATGATGCACACATAAGAGAATACTTTACACTCGGAGGTGTATTACTGTGGATAATTAATGATTTTCTTGCTTATGGAAAGGATATAAAGCTTGTCCAATATGCGGCAATGATACACCTAATCACAGGTTGAAAAATGGCCACAAAATTTGTTACATTGGGCATAGAAAATGGTTACTAACATATCATCCATATCGGAGGTAACGTGCAGCTTTTAATGGGAAACTTAAATATGACATGCCTCCTGAGCCATTAACAAGAGAAGAAGTGCTGCAAATGGTTGAATGTATTAATTACAAATGAGGCTCGAAAAAGGGGAAAATGTTAGTAAAAATGATGTTGACAAAGTTTTTTGGAAGAAGAAGTCAAAATTCTTTGATCTTGAGTATTGTAAATACCTTCCTATGAGGCATGCCCTAGATGTTATGTACATTGAAAAGAATGTTTGTGATAGTATCATTAGTACGTTGTTGGAGATCCCTGGAAAAAATAAAGATGAGATTGCTGCTCGGTTAGATTTATTGAACATGGAGGTCAAAACAGATCTGCAACCCGAGTATGGAGAAAGACATATTCGCTTGCCTCAAGGGCCTTGAAATTGGTCAAGAGCAGAGAAGATAGCGGTTTGCAATTTTTTCTATGGTATGAAGGTTCCTGAAAGTTATTCTTCAAATATAAAAAATATTATATCTTTACAAGATTCAAGAATTCTTGGCCTTAAATCACATGATTATCATACCTTGATGCAACAATTACTCCATATGGAAATTCGTTCTATTTTGGAGAAGCCTGCAAGGTATGCAATAACTCAATTATGCTTTTTTATCAATGCTATATGTGCAAAGATGGTAGATGTTTCCAAGCTAGATAAGTTGGAAGAAGATGTAGTAGTTACTTTGTGTTTGCTTGAGAAATACTTTCCTCTTTCATTCTTCGATATCATGGTTCATCTACTAGTACATCTTGTCAGAGAAGTTCGTTTATGTGGGCCAATTTTTTTTAGATGGATGTATCATTTTGAAAGATATATGAAAGTGCTAAAGAGGTATGTTCAAAACCGTACTCATCCCGAAGGTTGCATTGCTGAGTGGTATATAGCTGAAGAAGCTGTAGAGTTTTACACCAAGTATTTGTCTGATGTTAATACAGTTGGAGTGCCTCTAGCCAGAAGATGTGACTTTCAAAGCCATTACCACATGTTTATCTTATATACAAGGGACCGTAATGCTTGAATTTTTCATGTCATGTAGGGAACATATGATCCACATCAAGACCACTTATCTAAAATTTAAAAAGAGAACAAAGTGGTTGCAAGATAAGCATAATAACACTTTCATTCAATTGCTAGGCTTTAAGGTATATGTTATTGAATAACATATTGGACTTTTAATTTTCTTCTTTTTATGTTAGATTGAATTAAGATATGATTAATTTGCAGGTTCAAAGTGAGCTCAATGGGAAAGACAATAATCGCTTATCAAAAAATTTGAGATGGCTAGCAGCTCGTCCAAGCATGGCAGTGCCATCATATAGGAGCTATCTTATTAATGATGGTAAATTTAACACAAAGGCGCAAGATGATGTGTGAACTCAAAATAGTGGAGTTTATTTACTTGCACATACTATGCAAGTTGTTTGTGCCAAGGATAAAAACCTATTGTCTCCAATATGGGGTTTTATGGTGTCATTCAAGAAATTTGGGACTTTGACTACCAAAAATTTAGAATCCCAAACTTCAGGTGTGATTGGATATATAACACTTCGGGCCTTGTAGTCGACGAACTTGGATTTACCCTTATAGATCTGAGTAAAATTGGACATAGGAATGACCAATTTGTTATGACTACTCAAGTCAAACAAGTATTTTTTTTGTTGACAACCCAATGCATCATAGTTGGTCAGTAGTGTTATCAATGCTTAATAGAGGATATAATGATGTTATTAGTGATGAGGTGCTAGGTGATATTAGAATTGAGTGTGAGCTATTTATTAGAGGGATACCCAATGTTGACACATTTGATGACCTAGTGAGTGTGAAGATATATGAATGAATTGATTGTTATAATGTATGACATTAGTTATGCAGTTAATTGTATGACATTAATTAATGGCTTTGTATGACATTAATTTTGTAATAAATTGTAATGTTTGACATTATTTTTATCACTTTTTCATTATGCAAATTTTGGGCACTACAATTCCAGTATTAAAAATACTAGGTTTAAGATGTAAAATACGACGGTCCAGTTAAAAAATTGCAAAAACGGACGTATAAATCATACCCAATGTCGTATTTTAACAAATGACGTGGAATAACAATGTAAACGACCGTGCATAAATAAAAACCGTCATTTGAAATAAAAAAACATGTCGGTTAATTAAAATTGATATTACATAACAATTAGGCGATTGTGAAAAAAAAAACCAATAACAACTGTCACGTTAAGCCGTTGCTACTCAAAATTCACGTCGGCGTTGTTCATAGAAGCAACATTTCAAATGTAATAACACAACAGTAAAGGGCACAAACCGACGAATTTTACATGATCACTACGACCTCCTATAAATATTTACCGTTGTCTAAAAAAAAACCACAAAAGGTTTCTTAGTTTAAGTATCTGTAGTGAGAGTTCTTTTGAACGTCGGTTAAAATGAAACCCACTGTCGTCTCACAAAATACACACGACGATATTAGTGTTACAAGCGCCGTGTACAATAGGAACCACGTCTATATTTATATTGTCCACGTCGTGGTAAGCTAATTAACAACGACGTCTAGGTAAATACTATGGCCAAAATAGATAAATTAACCACGACAGTTTATTTTAAATCACCGTCGTGAAAGGAGTTTTGAACAACTGGTATGTAATATTTAGGGTCATGGTTACTCTATGTTACGGCAGGACATGAATAAATTGTGACATGTTATCTTCTTCAAATGTCACGAAGTTTCAAAAAGTGTCGTCTAAGCTTATCCAAGTTGCCTTTTTTGCTTTTTTTATATTAATCAGACGTCGGTTGTGAAACAATAGCGTCGTCGTATATAGTAATAACTATGTTATTTTCACATTTACAAGCATTAATACCTGTTTTGCACGTCGGTAGGGATCATAAGTGTCGTGGAATAGTATTAACCAAACAGTTTATTTTAAGAGTAATGCTAGGCTTACCACATTTTTCATACCACAATTGTACCACCTCTCTAATAGAGGTGGAGCCCACCAATACAATGGGGCCCACCTCTATTAGAGAGGTGGTACAATTGTGGTATGAAAAATGTGGTAAACCTAGCATTTTCCTTATTTTAATGTACTGTCGTGGAAGATTGTCTAAACGATGGGAAGTTAATATTTAGGGTTGTGGTTACTCTGTGTGACATCGGTACGTGGTGAATTTGTGACATGTTATTTGCTTTAGACGGCTCAAGGTTTCTAAAAGCGTCGTCCAAGGTTGTCTAAGTTTTCCTTCCATGTTTTTATAGTAAGTAGACGTCGGTTTGTGTTTAGAGATCACGTAGTATGTTGTAACAACGTCAGTAATTTACCTTAGTGGTCTTATGCATAAAAGATGGCGGTCGATTTCACGACGGTTTAAAAACCATCTACACGACAATGGATTTCTGTCGTCTATTGCGATTTTTGTAGTAGTGCATAGATATGCAACTCCAAGAATTAAATAGTAATTTTACAGAGACTAATACTCAGTTGCTTCTTTGTATGGCATGTTTAAGTCCACTTGATTCATTCTCTGCTTTCAACAAACAAAAATTGATTTGCCTGACTCAATTTTATCCAAAGGACTTTTCAGAGAATGATATCTTAGCACTTGAGGATGAACTTGAGACTTACATATTTGATATGAAATCTAGTAGCGTGTTTTGGGATTGAAAGGAATTACTGATCTTGGAGAAAAATTGGCTGAGACAAAAAAAAGAAAGGGTATACCCATTAGTTTACTTGCTTGTGATACTGTCACTAATCCTACCAATTGCGATTGCCTCCGTGGAAAGAACACTTTCTACTATGAATATATTGAAAAGTGATATGCGTAACCGAATGCGAGATATATGGATGAATGACAACTTGATATTATATATTGAGAAAGATACATTTGATATTATTGATAATGAAGTGATTATGAAAAGATTTCAAGAGATGAAAACTTGTCGAGGACGATTCTAAATGTATTAAGGACCATTAATGTCACAAAAATTCCTTAAGTAAGATGACAATTTCACAAACCTCAGGACTATTTGCGATAAAACGCCTTTAAACTTATATATAGCATTTTGGTTTGGAAGTATGTGAGAGTGGGCTTGTGTCCCCCGTTGGTGGCTCTATCACCATTGGTCTATCTCATCAGGTAACCAGAGATATGGGGCACACACACACATATATATATATATATATATATTCTACGTGGAGCCATCAGATTAGTTTGATGGTCAAAATCTTCTACGATGCAGGAAAAGGAAAAAGCAGATTAATTTGAATGATGCAGAGGAACAAGATCTGTACAGTCATTGTACATGATGAGATAACAAAGTCATCCTCGTACTCGAAGAACTGACTTGGTAGGTACAAATTACAATGGCCCGTCAGGCAATTAAAAAATACTCGAAGAACTGCACTAGGTGCTTGAAAAATAAAATCCTAAGTCTAGGAAAAAAAAAGTGCGAGACGAAAGATAAGTTTGTTTGTTTGATGTTGTGTGTCCGATGTCTTCATCGAGCAAGGTTTATATAGGGCACTCGTCAGCCCATGGGCTGGCCATTGAATGACCAAAGATCAACTCTTTTAAAACTTCTTTCATTGCAAGACCCCCCTAAATCTGTAGGATTGCATTGAAGAAGATATTCTGACATGCTTGATTCTTCTTTGTTTTGGAACACTCGGAGTTACTATAAAAAATCCCTTGAGTTCTTTCCTTGTGAAGTCTCCATTACATGCACATAATCCTCCGAAAATTTGGGCTTGAATCGTTGGCTTGGACTTCCAATTTCTCTTATATTGCCACCCATATGATATAAGATTTCATACATATTCAATATATATATATATATATATATATATAAGTCTCCCACCCTGCGTGCATGCACCTTCACTCAACTATATATATACTTGCATATATATATATATGTAGTTTCTAAAGCCGCCCATTTTAAAACAGCCCAAAACAGCTTGCCCATTTACTCCAAAACAGCTTGCCCATTTCGCCAAAGTTCCTAAAGCATCAATTTTGGAGACCAGCAAAAGGACCCAGCATTCATCCAAGTATATATATATATATATATATATATATATATATATATATATATATATATGTTATATTATATAAATGCAATATTAGATAATGCAGGTTCAATTTAAACTCCGGCCGCATGCATTCCAAAAACTTGCCCATTTCGAAAAAGTTCCTAGAGCACCAACCAATTGCATTCATATATATATAAATATAATTATAGATATCAGCTTGTTTTTATCCTACAGCCCCAATTTTGGAGGCCAGCTTGCAATTGGTGCTCCAGCCACATCTCTATATATTACATATATATATAATATTAAGCTTCCAACAAAGCCCTTTCAGCCCCAATTTGCCAAGCAACAATATACCCCAGCCGCACCTATCAGCACAGCAGCCAACATTATCCAACACATCCGGCTGAAATTTCCTTGGGCTCCATCCATCAAACCCCGGGCGCATAAACCTTGCATAGCCCAGCTATAACCCTCAAGCCAAGCTCTCCAAAACCCGGCCGACAATTTCATCAGGCCGTAGCCTTGCAAGAAAAGATCCGGCCGACCTCAATCTCCAGTCATACGTAAGCTGCCCAGCCACATCTCGCAAGCCCAGCTTCCTCCAACAAAACCCGGCCGCTATTCTTCTCGTGCCCGGTCAACTCTTGTGCCCGGGTGGATTTCTACCACCCCTAAACACCACGCATCAAAAAAAAGGCAACAAAAAAAAAAAAAAAAAACAAAAAAAAAAAAAAAAAAAGAAAAAAAAAAAAGACGTTTACACCTTGCTCTTCTACAATAGGGCAATGTTAGGCCAGCCCAAAGCAGGATAGCCCACGAACAGAATGCTCAAAAAAACAAAAAAAATGTTTCCTTTGTGTAATGGGAGAGAAGTGTTGAAATAATGAGGCCCACTAGAGATCCTAAGTGGCAATTTTGCACATGCAACGAAGAAAAATCTTCCATTGAGTTCTCTAGTGGTACATAGTGAGAAATATCTTCCCCACATCTGTCCCTCAAACTGGCCTTATCCCTAATAGGCGTTTATGAGGAGGGAAAAGACTTGCATGAAGAAAATAAGCTTGGACGGGGTGGATTTAGAGGCCAGGCTACAACACCGCAATTTAGTTAGGCTCCTCGGTTTTTGCCTGGAAGGAAATGAAAGGCTTCTCGTCTCTGAGTTTGTCCCAAACGCAAGCCTCTCTCGATCAATTCATATTTGGTACTTCTGGAATTCTAGTATATTTTGAAAATGCATATCGGAAAAGTTCATTTGTGTGGCATCATGGCATGCTTCTAAAAAAACACACTGCAACAAGCATTATACAAACGGTTCTTTTTTGCTTGAATATCTAGATCCAATCAAAAGCGTTATTTGAATTAATTGGGATAACTGCTACAAAATCATAGTAGGAATTGCACAGGGACTCCTTTACCTTCATGAAGATTCTCTTCTTCCAATTGTTCACCGTGATTCGACAGTTAGCAACATTTAGTTGGATTCGAAAATGAACGCAAGAATTTCAGATTTTGGCATGTCAAAGCTGTTTCTAATCGAATTTTGGCATGTCCAAGCTGTTGTATACTAAACTACGCTATATACTCATGCAAGTTATGGTATACCAATACCTTTAGGGCTTGTTTGGTACGTCAGACTGTATTGACTAATTTCTGTTAGATATTATTAATTTGTTTGAGAGAATATTGATTGTTTATCCATAATATTATAAGGCATTTAGTGCTGTTTCGGATAAATAGTCTCACTAAGTTATATTGTGTTTGCTGCTGTTCCGGATAAAATCAGCTTCTACAGCTCCTCCTCCGCCCAAAAAGACGTCGAAAGAGTCTATGCAATCGGGCTCACCCCGATTCTTGCGGTAGTTGCCTCTGGTGATGTGCCTGCCACCTCCAATCCTGAATATCTTAAGTGATTTGAAGCTTATCAACTCATCGTCAGCTATTTTAATTACCTCCACCTTACTGTTGGTTGTGCTTCTTCTCGCGGGATTTGGACTTGTCTTCAGACTCACTTTCCTTAAGCTTCGATTTGGTATAGAATTTAAAAGTTGTTTTCTTTTTTAATACAACCAATTCTTATTCTTGACGTACAATTCAAACATATCAGACAGCGTGAACTCTACGACAAGAAAAGCTCACAAATCATCGAACATGTGTTTAAATCTCTCTTAAACAAATTTTTTTTCATCAGGTCCTCTTCTCCGACCCAGTACTTACAGTATGAACAAATAATACTATTGCATATATTGAAAATATAAAACCAAGACACTCAATACATGTGGTCAGATGTTTGAAATTCAAACACCCCATGAATATGTGTGTAAACTCCCTTCCCCAATCACGTGCATTAAAAAAAGTCAATTGTAAGAATTAGAAATTGTTATAAAATGTTTATAAAAAAAAATATTTCTATAAAATGGGAACAAAAAATGAAATTGTATATTCAGGATCTGAAAATGTGACTCATACCTTAGTTATTGCAGCAATGATTCTCAGAATATACCTTTAAAAAAATAAATTTATGCATAAATTTTCCTTCAAATATGGTGGCCTTCTTTGTCAAGGCAAAGAAAATTAATAAAATAAGGATGTGCAAAGTCGAATTTTATATAGCGCGTCAATTTTCTATTGTAAGAAATATTGTAAACAAGCATTGGTGGCGTGCGAAACGAGATTGCTAAAATAGGAGAACTTTTGCCATGTGTAAAAAAACAAGAGAAAGATATTTAGAAATCCTACAAGTGTAGGAAAATCATCAAAGAAAATATTGCCAATTGTAGCATCACAAAGTGAATGCAATTCCACTCTCATATTCAAATTATTTCACAACACTTGTATATTGAAGTAACCCCATTACTATGTTTCCCTAATTATATGTAATAAGAATCAACCAAATCCAAATTTTGACCCAACCATCTTTTGAACCTCTAATTCTGAAAACAAATGCTGTATTATAGGTCCCCATCTCATTGTGGCATGACCTTTCAAAATCGTCACCTGTTTATTTTATAAATATAATATAAGTAATAGTTTAAACTATAAGAGGAGGAGATTTCTTACACACTATCACAGTGTCATAGAAGTTCAAACTTGAAATCACTTACCTACAAATCAATATCTTTTTGTTATCACTTACTTCCAAATCAATACCTTTTTGTTACCACTTACTTCCAAATCAATACCTTTTTGTTATGGTACACAGTCAGAACACTTTTACATAAAAGTTTACAGCGCTGACATTTCGTTTACAAAGAGTCAAACACTATAATTGCTTTACTTTACAATCATTAAAAGCAGTTTTATTGAAAGCAAAACAATAACAAACTAGCCCATATTTGGACGACTCCCTGCAATCCAAACCAGAATAGAAAACAGTCAGAAAACTATAAAGTGGTCACGGAAGACAGTCAGCAAACTATAAAGTGGTCACGGAAGACAGTCAGCAAACTATAAAGTGGTCACGGAAAACAGAGTCAGCAAAGCGATCACACTCATGATCAGTAGTAGGGGTGAAAGTTGGATTGGAAAATTCAATTTCGACCGATTTTGTTTCGAAAATTTCTGATTTTGGCAAGTCCAATCAATTCCGACATTTGAAAGTTTCAAAATCCAAAAATTTAGATAAAAATTGGATTGGAACTGTAATGTATTTAGAGATTCCAAAAAATTCCGAATCCAAAATATATTAGGGTTTCAAGCTTAGATTACACAAAATTACTAATTTCATGTTGAACTAACTATAATTTGATGACCAAATAGACATAGACAAGTTATTTTATGAAGGATAACAACATCAAAGTACTAGCATATAATAGTTTTCGAAACTTACGGTATGAGGTTTCAATTTGAGTCAATTTTAATCATTCAAATGGTTGGGTATATTAAGAATTTTGAACTAATTTATGAAATTTTCCAAAAACATTCCGAAATTTTCCATAAATTCCATAAATTCCAAATTTTCCGAATTCTTGTGGAATGAAATTGGAATAAAATTTTCATTCTGAATTTTTTTGGATTAGAATTGGAATCCCCTGATTCCGATCCGATCCGTCCAAAAATCAACCATAATCAATAGTAATACCAAAAAAAAAACATGAATTTAATTATTCTAGCTTTAACTTTTTATTCTTTTATGAATAAAAAGAGAGAAAAAAAAAGGGTAAGAAAAAGGGGTGGGCGTTTGAAAAATAAATGGGATGATCAAAATGGAATCTTGAACCTCTATATTTAAGTTTTGTGTATTTACCCGCATTTATTTTAATCTCAACCATCACAATAATCCAATTGTTAAAAGTCAAGCCACATAGCCACCTTAACTTTAATGTTATTTATGGTGTTAGTGTTTTTCTGTTGGTGGTTTCTCTGCTTTTGATTCCTATGACTTACAGGCTATGTTGCACCGATACGCCGGATTTTTGGGGTATGCTCGTATCCGATACGGCATCGATACGTATCCGATAAGCCCGTATCGTAGACTTTTCTAGGATGTTGACTTTACGATATGGCTCCGATACTCCATTGATACGGTCACGATACGCTAGCGATACTGTCCTGATACGTAAATGGGTAACTTTGACGGCAACTAAAAGAGAAGAAGAATAAGAAGAAGGAAGAAGGAGGAAGAAGGAAGAATGAAGAAGAAAAGAACTTACTTGCGCTTGCAGCTGCTACTAATATGCAGTTGCAGACAGTTGTTGTGCGAAGAAGAGGCGGCTAACTAGTGAAGAAGATGATGTTGGGTGCCCTAATTACAATACACACCGTTTTAGTTGCATGTTTGGTGGCCTTTGTTAAAAAAATTGTTTTATACTTTTTAATTCTGATGCATTCATTTGGGCCGAGCCCAGGAACTGAAACAAGTCATATATGGCCTAGAAAAACATAAGGAACTAGAAAAAAAGCTCAAATGCTAATTTTACATATATATAATTTTACATATATATGCTTATATTTTTATAATATTTATATTTATATTATTTTAATCGCCGTATCGGTACCGTACCCGTATCCTATTTTTAGAGATTTGCCGTATTAACGTATTGTATCGTATCGTATCGCCGTATCCGTATCCATATCAGTGCAACATAGCTTATAGGAGAACCTGTACTTTTAACTATGTCTCTAATGGCAGGAAAAAAAAGAAAAAGAAGGCAATTGATTAACCCATTGCACAGCCCTCATATTGTAGTTTCCACCTGTGCCCATAACTTTTTTTTTTGTTTTTTGGTTGAAAATGCCCAGAAACCTTCAACAATGACAAAAAGGAGAAACAAAGAAACAAAATGGTTAAACCCAACAAGCTAATGGGGAAGTTGGGATTAAATCAAAATTGGTTGAACCCAACCCCCAACTTCCAGTAAACAAAGCGAATGACACCAAATTTTATCACAGACGTATGATGCTCGGCTCACAAATCCATTGAATTAAACTTCTCCGACGATTAAAAAAGAAAGAAGGCAGTTGTGCGGTGATGGATTGGGAGCCAAAGTACTGGTAAAGTAACAGAGTAGTCATCAGTTTTGATAAAAAAAGATAAACTCAAATTAAGGTATAGCTTATGTGGCTTAAATTTTAATCATTAGATTATTGTGACTAATGATAAATTTTCCTCCATGGAAGTGGCCACCCAAAGATCAACTCAAATTTGTCCTGATCTGATTTGGGTGGCCACTTCCATGGAGGAAAATTGGAGAAAACAAGGTCTTTTTCAAGGGAAAGATGACAAAGATGAACAAATTATACGTTTTGAGACGAAGAGTGATTGAAAGGAGCTGCTTGTTTGGTTTCTCTTTTTTTTGGTCCAGCCGCTGGAAGCTTGGTTTGGTTGTGAGAGAGTGATAAAATGGAGAAGAAGTGCTGCGAAGGGCAAAAATATTTTTTTACGTTTTGGATGATTTTTAAATGACGGGCCATGCTCAGAAGAAAAGTCAGATCAAAGCAAGAAAAAACCGAGTATAGAATCCGCCTCCTATTTTGTAAGGCTACATCCAACCTTGAAGAAGAGGTGGACACAGATCCTTTCATGGGGAATTGGCTTGAACAAGTGTAGGCAATGAATTAATGAGGGAAAAATAGGGTACATATGCAAGCAAAACATAATTGACAGCTCAGTCCCTCATAAGATTCATATATTAGAGAGAGAGATCATTTACCTGATGATGATGAGGATTCTGGGGATTGTTTCTGCTCCGCCGCCACCAGTTTTTCCCCGTCTAGCTTAAAGATGACTCGTTCGTGGGCAGCGAAAAACTGTGCTGGAAGGAACATCGTTGTCTTGGTACCTTTAGCAGTTGTTGCGCTGACATGAACGGTTCTGGGAACACCATCATAAGAACTACGATCTAGGAATGTCTTGGCTTTTATCACCTTGCGATCCTTAGGTTGCATCGTAGCAAATAGCGTGCCCCCCGATTCATCACCTCTCTCGACCTCTCTTATCTCAAGAACCACCTCTGTACAGTTTTCAATCTCGGTCTTCCGGGAAAACAAATTCGCCATCAGGGACGGACCGTCGTTATGATTAACCTGGGCTATAGTCCCGGCAAATTATTATTATTATTATTTTTTTCCAGTCTAAAATAGCAATCCCAGCACACCTCCCCCAAGTTCCAATCTATCCATGTAAATGGACCCCAACTGAGACTCGGTGGAGTTGCGTGTGAGGCACCTACCCTTTTTAGTCCACCCCATGTTCCACCACACTTTCCTAATTTTATTAACACTTCATATAAATAAAAACAAACAAAAAATCTTCACACATAGAAACAATTAACATTAAAAACCACACTTCCCCGTTAAATTTCTGTTTAAATTAAAATCACACCCCATTCCTCAGCTTTAAAATTGTAATAATTTTTTGTTTAATATTGCAAAATTAACATCAACAAGAATTTTGAAAAATTATTTGAGTATGAGATATACATGAATTGTTCTATTTTAGAGGGGAAAATTTTGGGTTTAAGTTATCTAGCATTAGATATGGACTTAATAGGTTCGTATGCAAGGTAAATTTAGCCCACTCTATTTTGAAATCCTGGGTTTGTCCCTACTCGCCATTGATTAACTATTCAAACCTAATGACTCTGTAAACTGGTGTCTACTGTCTACTTTAGAGCAAGTCCACCCTTGCTTCAAAACCGGGCAAAAGGCAGCCCAGGGGGGAAGGAAGCAGCTCCAGCGCGCAAGGGCCAGCCCTGGCAAGAGCTTGGTCCCACGAGCCCAGGCAAGCCCACGGGCAAATTCAGCCCGAGCTGCTGCTAGGGCAAACTGATGCAATGCTGACATCATAATGACGTCAGCAACCCAAAAAAAAAGAAAAAAAAAGGAAAAAAAAAACCCAAAATTCCAGAATTTTTTTAAATAAATACCTAGGCATATTCTTTACTTCCCACACCAAAAACTATATACAAATTTATCTCCTTATATCTCATATGAATAGTATTTGCCTTAGACTTGCCCTAGACTTAGCTTTCATGGGTGGAACCACAAATGCAAAGGCTGACACTATTCACGTGAATAGTAGCAGCCATTGCTTGCCCTTACCTTAGACTTAGCCCTTGTGGGTGGAAGTGCTCTTATAGCGTTTGATATGTTAAAAAACGACAAAAGATCACTCCCATATTTTTTAAACATGGATAAATAATAGCCCGAAACATATTTAATTTATTAAACATCATTTTCCTTGTATTTCCTTTTCCTTTTTCTTTTTCTTTCAACAAAAGACCGTTTTCTTGAATTTTGTAAAAATGGTTGTAGGCCGGTAAAACTTAAGGCTTGAGGAATTTTACTGGTGTCAAATGTTTTAGATCTTGTAGCATTTTTGTCAATTTAAAAAAAAAAAAATTTAAAACTTTTTATGCAGATATTTTTATTCAAGTTGTTCTCCTACAAGACCTTTTCTTGGGGAGCATTTTCTCCAAACCACTACACTACGTGGGTTCTAGCTTAGTAAAAAATGGTCTTAACTTATAGACTAATTATCTCAAATTCAAACCCTTATGACACTTTAGCAGTGTATGTGTGGGGACACATATGACACTTAGACTATCCGGCTATATTAAAAGAAGTACGTAAAAGTTTGGTTAGCATCAGTTGGCTTGTTTGAAATAATGTCAAGAATAGTTCCTGTTCTTCTTTCGTAGAAATCATAAGGTACAGCTCTTTGGTTAATTTTGCCCTTTGCTACGCTCGAATCTCAAAGAAGTGCATCTGATGATTTCTATGAAAGAAGACTTTGTGTCTCATATGCGCGAATAACAGCTGTTTAAAAATAAAAATTGATTGAAGTAACTATATGGCACAAACCAACAGCTGGCTTGTTGAAAATAAATTTTGATGGAGCCTTCCTAGAAGATCTCCCCTCGAACCGGCTGAGGTTCTAAAAACAATTAATTAAAATAAAAGTTAGTTGTCATACTTCTAGGTGTTTTTTTGGGGCACCTTCCACGGTGCACCTGGTGTACCGATACACTCAGATTTTTTTTTAAAAAATGAAACCTGTTGTTAAAGTTGCCGGTTCCAGCTTTTCTACTTTTTTTTTGTTGGAGTTCCAAGTTTTCTTAATATTTAATCTTTGTCCTGTTTTTAAGGAAAGAAATTTTGTCTTATTCAATTTTTTAAAATATTTTTTTTGTCGAAATGTCTTATTTAATGTTAGATAAAGTAATCTTAACCCAACTAACCCAATTAAAATTTAAAACGGCTTATTATCACAAAATGTCATTAAGGTTTACGAAACTATCAGATTTGCATCCTTAATGTTTTTTTGTGTCACTTGTGGTCTTTAAGGTTAGTATATGCGATTACAAATGATTCCTGCCGTTAGGTTTCATAAAAAACTCCGTTAGTTTGCTAATGTGGCATATATATATATATATATATCACAAAACATCTCTGAGGTTCACACTCTTATCACAAATGGTTCCTACGAATTTTTTTAATTTTTTCATTTAAAATTCATAAAATTTTAGTTTTCTTTTTAAAATTATTTATAAATGAAAAAACCATTTATAGAAGGATTTTAATCTTGAGGACCATTTATGAACCTTAAACCCTTAGTTTTTTCATTTTTAAGTTTTATGAATTTTAAATTATTTTTTAAAAACTCCATTAGTTTGTTGATGTGGCATATATATGGAGTCTGCATCTGCAATAATATAGTGTCACATGTATTTAAAATATAATATGTATTTTTTAAAAATTTAAAATTCATAAAATTGTAAAAAGAAAACCAAAATGTTATGAATTTTAAATATAAAAAATTAAAAAATTTCATAAGGACCATTTGTGATATGTGGGTGAACCTTAGGGATGTTTTGTGATATATATATATATATATATATATATGCCACATTAACAAACTAACGGAGTTTTTGACGGAACCTAACAGCAGGGACCATTTGTGATCACACATACTAATATTGAGGACTATGAATGACAAAAAAAAAAAATTAAGGATGCAATTTGATAGTTTCGTAAACCTTAAGGATGTTTTGTGATATTAAGTCTTTTAAAACTTTATATAAATCCAATTAACCAAATTGTTTTTTTTATTAACTTGTAACCAAAAACAATAATAACTACAAATTTGTTGGGTATATAATAATTATGTTGATTACTCGGAAATTTAAAGAAAACTAAAAGAACTTAAGACAAACAAATAAAACGTCACTGTAACTATTCATAGTCCCACGTTGTTGTTTTTTTTTTTTTTTTTTTTTTTTTTTTTTTTTTAATGTAATACTGAAAATTTTAAAACAATACTTTTATATTGAACAAAACTTTTAAATTTTTTTTTAAAAAAACTTTTTTTTTTTTTTTTTTTTACTTTTTTCACCTAATCCATAATATTGTAAATCCCCATTTTCGAGGATATGAATCCACATTACAAGTAGTTGGTAGGTGTGGACCTTAAAGATGTAAATTAGGTCATTATTTTAGTAAAGAAAAGGTTTACATGATTAAGGGCCGATTTTTACAAAGTTTCAATATGAGGGTACCATAACATTGGAAAAAATATCCATAAGGATGTAAATTAAGTCATTTTCTAGTAAAATGAGGGATTATAAGATTAAGGGCCGATTTTACATTTTTGGGATACGAGGGCACCATAACATTGTAAGGAGGATCCATACACATGTAAGTTACAAGATTTGGGTAGTGATTTATAGGTTTTTGCACCACAATTACAACATTAGGATTTTCATAATCCTTAATGTTGTAAATCCTTATTTTACAAGGATATGGATCTACATTACAAAGAATTGGTAAGTGCAGACCATGAGGATGTAAATTAGGTTCTTATTCTAGTAAAATAAGAATTTACAAGATTAATGGTTGATTTTACAATTTTGGGATACGAGGGTACCATAACGTTGTAAAGAGAATCCATAAACATGTAGGTTACACGATTTGGATAGTGATTTACATGTTTTTGCACAATGGTTACAACATTAGGGTTATCATAATCCTTAACGTTGTAAATCCTTATTTTACAAGGATATGGATCCAAATTACGAAGAATAGGTAAGTTTGGACCATGATGATGTAAATTGGGGGTCTTATTCTAGTAAAATGAGGGTTTACAAGATTAAGGGCCGATTTTACAATTTTGGGATACGATGGTACCAAAATGTTGTAAAAAAAATCCCTAAACTCGTAACTTACAAGTTTTTTGTAACACTTTACAAGGTTTTGCTCCTAAATTACTACATTAGGGTTCACCGAATCCATAATATTATAAATCATATATTTACAAGGATATGGATCCACATTACAAGAAATTGGTAATAGTAGACCTTAGCAATGTAAAATGGGTCATTATTCTAGTAAAAAATGCTTTACAAGATTAAAGACTGAGGGTACCATACCGTTGTAAAGGGAATCCCTAAACCCATAACTTACAAGTTTTGGTAACAATTTACAAGGTTTTGCTCCTGGATTACAACGTTAGGGTTCACCAAATCCATAATGTTGTAAATCACCATTTTACAAGGATATTGATCCACATTACAAGGAATTGGTAATGATGGACGTTTGGGATGTAAAATGGGTCCTTATTCTAGTAAGCAATGGTTTACAAAATTAAGGAGCAAGGGTACCTTAACGTCTTAAAGAAAATCCCTAAACTCGTAACTTACAAGTTTTTGGTACCAATTTACAAGATTTTGCAACAATCAGGACTTGAAATTTACAAAACGTGGCCTTTATTCTAGTAAACACAAAATTTTACAACAGTCAGGATGGATGTTACAATGTTTTGATATAATAATACCATATTGTCGTAAACCGGATCCCTAAACTTGTAAGTTATAAGATTGTACTTAAAATGCAATTGCATATTGGTATGCAATTAGATACTCCCTAGTTGTCAATTACACGCTCCCTGTTTTTCAAGTACTCAAACAATATTGTAATAGTCTAATTTACAATGAAAATGATGTCGATGACAATATTAAGGTTTGGTTTGACATTTAACAAGTAAAATTGTTCATTATTCTTGTAAAAACTAGAATTTACAATATTATGACTCATGTTACAGTTTTTGGGACCTTAGAGTTCTATAAGATTGTAAAGGTTATCCCTAAGCTTGTAAAAACAATGGTTTACAACTTTAAGGAATCATATTAAAATGTTTGGCACATGAGAGTTCTCTAACATTTTAAATTTGATCCATAATCTTGTAATAACAGAGGTTTACAACATTAAGGACTCGGTTTACAGTTTTTGGGACCTTAGGGTTCCATACAATTGTAAAGGTGATCCCTAAGCTTGTAAAAACAATGGTTTACAACCTCAAGGAATCATATTAAAATGTTTGGCACATGATAGTTCTCTAAGATTTTAAATTTTATCCATAATCTTGTAATAACATGGGTTTACAATATTAATGACTTATATTACAATGTTTGGCACCTAAACGTTCTGTCACATTGTAAAGTCTATCCTTAATATTGTAGATTACAAGATTTGGGTTCGAATTTATGAGCTTTTGCATTGTAATTACAAGAATAAGATTGATTCTAATCCATAATATTGTAATAGCCTAATTTACAATGAAAATGATGTTGATTACAACATTAAGGTTTGGTTGGACCTTAAAAAAGTAAAAATGTTATTAGTTTTTGTAAAAACTAGGATTGACAACATTAATGATTCATGTTGCAGTTTTTGGGACCTGAAAGTTTCATAACATTGTAAAGGTTATCCATATGCTTGTAAAATCATTTGTTTACACCCTTAAGAAATCGTATTAAAATGTTTGGCACATAGACGTTGCATAACATTGTAAAGCTTATCCTTAATTTTGTAGATTATAAAATTTGGGTTCGAATTTACGAGCTTTTGCACCGTGATTACAATGTCAATGACTATGGCAATTGATGGATAGCGAATTGACAATTGATGGGTATCGAATTGCCACGGGTATTGATTTGGCAATAATTGATATGAATCGATTTGGCAATTGGACTGTAACATATTTGAATATTTAATAAACCTTTTTACCTCTAATACCAGGTTTCCTGGTTTTCCATACCAAGGGTGTAGATTAGTCCATATCCCACTAGTCTCAATCTAAGAACCCATACACCAAAGGACTGTAGAATTTTCCTATCCGAAAGTCGTTCATCTATGTCTATTTCCCTTCATTTTTTTGACTAGCAATAAACATTATCAATTGACAATTATTATAAAGGACAAAATAGTGGTCCCACCACCGGGCACATACATGCATGTGAGATGATTCCTCCTATTTACTGTATTTAATTTACAGAAGGGTTTGGCTGACTTGGGTAACCGCCTGGTTAATAACTGGCGAGTTTGCTTGCTCGAATCGAATGACCTTGATTGAAAACGATGCAGGGGTGGTTGTTGTTCAGAGAAGAGAGGTCGTGACTCATGTTGATGCTTGGGGTCCACATTATTTGCTGAGCTGCATTGTGAGAAGATGTCAATTTTCATTTTCGCTCGGGACTTTAACTTAATGTGTGTCTTGGTTATATTTTTTTCAAGATTTACACATAAATTATGGGAATTAACTTTTTATTTTATATTTTATGATGACATTAATTATTATGCTCGTCATTTTTTATTTTAAGACTTGCACATGTTGAGAAGTTGTCAACGATCATGTTTAAGATCCTCGGGTTTAATCTCTTTACAGTCTTCTTTTGTTGTACATCAAGTTCGGCTTGGGCAGCCTCGCCTTCGCTCCAATGCAAAGGAAGAACCATATCTCAAACATTGTAAATTAGAAGATCCTTAACATTTTTTTTAAAAGGAAAGTCTCCACGTATACATATAATTTGTGTACATCAGAAGATCACTCGCAGTTAGGTATTCTCTCTCTCTCTCTCTCTCTCTCTCTCTCTCTCTAGCTGTGCTTACACACAAACATCTTTATGTTGTGTGTGTACTCATGGCTAACAACCATGAACAAGAAAAGGAAGAGCTAGATAAGAAAATAGAAGAAAAACTCTCTCAAATTAGGGCACTGGATGAGCGCCTCAGTTATCTTCAATCAAACGGCTTCCAACTTGGAAGCTTCTACTTGGTCTTTCAAGGAGTTATTCTGACGGCAATTGCAAATGCTAACTCAGTCTTCGGATGTTTATCCTATTGGCTGCTCATCGCCCTTTCTTCATTAGCAGCCTTCCCTAATTTGTTTGCATTGTATTATATTGGAGGGGAATATATCAGAATCAGCAAACAGCGAGATAAATTCTTGCGTGAAAGCGATGTCTTGTTTACTCGGTTAGCCAAGCTTTCAGAACCAAATCCAACTTCTTCCACACCTTTCGTGTCAGCGCCAACTTCTCCCGCTCCGCCTTCTCCGGTAGCTGGAACATCACCTTTCGTGTCAGCGCCAACTTCTCCCTCTCCGCCTTCTCCTCCAGCTGGAAATCATAGTTATACTTCTGGTAAGAGTATGGTGACCCGAGCAGGTATGCGTATCATCTTCGTTGTCTTCTGTATTGCTTTTTATCTGGGCGTTTCCGCCATCATGTATTTGGTTTGCATAAAGACTCTTCGCAAACCAGGAGCTCAGTGTAAGCAACATTAATTCAAGCTGAATGATAAATGCATTGGGCTTTGTCAGGATTCAGCATTTCTTGGACTGTTGGGGATAAAAATAATAAAGTTTGCACTTAGATATTTAGATATTAGAAATTGCCTGACGGGCCATTGTCAGTCCATCGTGTGCGAGGATGACTTTGTTATATCCATTATTCAAATTGATCTGCCTGTTGCTTTTCCTGCATCTTAGAAGATGTACCTGACCATCAATGGCTCCACGTAGAATTTATTTATTTTTCGTTCTAAACTTATATATTTGGAAGATATTACTAATTTGTGTCCATGTCTCCAATTACCTGATGGGATAGACCAATTGTGATAGGCGTTCTGCTATTCACAGTCACTAAAAAACGACTGTGATCAGAGGCGCCCTCTAGCGCCATCCACTTATCCTTTGTAAGTTCCAATGAATTTTGAAAACTTCAAATTGCACCTCGCCCCCTACCAGAAAAACTTGTATGAAACGGGAATAGCACTGCCTGATCAATCACAAAATGTCATTTTAAAAAGTTATTATGTGTGGCATACCGGGATTGGTCGGGATAGCAAAATAGTGCTATTTCCATTTCATGTAAGTGTTTCTCCCTCTCTAAAATAGTATAGATGTACCATGTCAGCCTGTGATACTCTCATTTAAATACTGCAATGTGTCCACTTAAAAAAAACAAATTAAAAAAAATTTATAGCTGGACTTATTTCACAATTTTTATCTTGTGAACTAAAATTATAAAATTGAAAAACTTAAGATTAAAAAAAAAATGATGAGAATTCCCAATAGCCACCCCTCCTGAACCCAACACCCCTAAACCTGCCATGATCGCCATCCATCTCCACACTAGATGCCATGACTGCCACCCATCTCCAAGAAGTTTAAAATGGAATAGTGGAAGCGTTGGTGTTAATGGTTGGGAAATGTTAAAGTACTAGTTAATGCTTGAGGCTGGCGTTAATCGTTCACATACTTTTTTTTTTTGCTTGGTCCAAGACATTAAAATAAAAAGGTGCACGTAGCTTACATTTAATCGAATTATGATAGGCACTTACAGAGGGGTAAATTCCGGTCTCTCCAAGGAATTTTCAGACGAAATGAGGCCACTAATTGCATATTTGATAAATAAAAAAATGGTAAGGGAACATGCAAAACCAAAGGCAAAGGTAAAGCTGAAGGCAATGGGCCCATAAACCACTATAGGGGCGGATTCGTGGCATTAGGTATTTTACACAAATTTTAAAGGACAAACTACAGTAAACTGGATATTTGTTTTGAAATTTTCATTCTGAAATCTCCATTTTGGCATCTTAAAAGGTGATGTTGCTGCCCAATTTATTTATTTATTTTTGGACAAACTACATAAAACCCCCCAATCTATAGGGTCATTTACCAGTACATACTCAACGTTACGAAAACCCTACAAATTGCCCTATCCGTTAGCCAAACCGTTAATGAATATGTTAAATATTGATGTGGCATTTGTAGGACCTATTTTTTAATTGACGTGGGGTTCCACGTGGACAAAAAACTAATAAACTATTATACAAAACAAGTAAAATTATATTAAATAATTAATTTTCATTTAAAATCAAAAGAAAAAGAAAAATCAGAGGGAGGTGGAGTTTAACAGATTAATTTTCAATTAAAAAATAGGTCCCACAAATCCCACATAAGTATTTAACAGATTAACTAACGATTTGGCTAACAGATGGGGAAAATTGTAGGGTTTCCGCGACGTTGAGTATGTACTGGTAAATGTCTCCAAAATCGAGTATGAACTCGTAAATGACTCTATAGATTGGGGGGTTTACTGTAGTTTGTCCAATTTTAAATCATTATATTTAAGCACTATTAATGGCTGAGATTAAATCTCACAACTAATTTATTATTGTCTTTATAATAATTCTTTTATTCAACATTATTTAATATTATTATTATAACATAATAATTACCAAACGCACGCTACCCAAAACTCTCCAACTTTCTTTGTCTTTCTACATGTAGCTCGTTAGGGTGAGCACTCAGCATTCAACAATGGCATCCAGTCTATTTTGAACCCTAATCAGATCGTCCAAATTGAGATCAGCCAGGAACATAAATTCCATCCTCATAAGGAGTCAAATCAGTAACCACATCGAAAAATAGATGCAGGGTTTCTTTGCCAAAATGTCTAGATTTTAATATCATGAAGAATGTCCAGTTAACCAAATAAAAATAAAGGAGTCACGGTTGCTGGTTCTCTCACTCAATTAGTTGCTAACTTATTACATACTGAAATTAAAATTGAGATTAATGCTGAAGCGAAAAAGAAATTGATTGAGATTCATTGTGATCATCCCTAATGAAATTTCAAGAAACTAAGAGCATGATTACCCTACCCTCCCATGGAAGTCCCCCAAATTTGTTCTGGTTTTGACTGGAGAGAAGTGTTTTATGATCCTAACAATCCCATGTCTGCTTGGATATTTTCTCAAACTATATATGCATTGCTTTGTTTCGATCTAGGTATGAATGGTGGGCAAATGGTGATTTTTAGCACATCGAGGCTGTGGAGATTACTAACATTGGGCATGGAGAAATGGAGATTTAGAATTTGGGGTACTGTGCAATTCATAATTATTAGATTAAAATAATAATAATTTGTACAAATGTATAATTAGAAAGATAATAAAAATTATTTGTTAGATTTAATCTCATCCATTAATAATGCTTAAATTTAATGATTCAAAATTTGTGTTAAAACTCTCGTGTAAAAAACGTAGTGTCACGGATCCGCCTCTACATATATATATATATATAATGTTATTAAACACCTAAATTTAGGTCAACGGGGTTTATCTAAGTATAAAACGACCTTAATTTATAGACTAATAGTCTCGGATTCAAACCTCTCCCTCTTTATAATTTACTCTATCTTTTGTACTTCAAAAAAAAGAGAAAATTCTACAGTCCCTTGGTGTATAGGTACACCAAAGGATATGGGCCCTTACATTGAGACTAACCTGCTTTGTATTTTAAAAATGTAAATTTATAGATTGGGGGAGTCTGCGAAACCTCGACTAAACCAATATTTGAATTTCCTATATTGACTTGGTCAGGATTTACACCACTCCCATTAATTTTAGTCAACGTTTTAATTAAATTAATGTTCAACATTAAAATGCTCATGAGATGTTTCCTCCTCACACTTTGGCTTTGTCCTTTGGGCAGCTTCTGATAAACTAGTCTAGGTCACGATAATATTTGCTTTCCAAATTTTCTTATTTAGTCTTTTTTTTTTGTTTTCTCACTTAAGAGAAGATAATAATTGTAAGACCTCGAGCACAACTTAACCCTAAGCATTCAAAGTTAAAAGCAGAAGTTACCCGGAAAGAAAGGAGTGAATATTCCTTAAAGAAGCAAAAACCATCGGCCACAAAATTAGGTTCTCCAAAGAGGATCATGAGCCTCTGCATTAATTTACGCATTTTTTCACATTTCGCTTAATTTTATTCATTAGAATAATCTAACGACTTACAACATGACATGTAAACTATCATCAGTTTAAGTTTATTTATAACACTCTAAAAGTCTAATTTTACCCTTCCAATAAAAATTAAAAAAATTTAAATTTAAAACTTAAAAACTAAAAACCCAAACCCAGCACTTCCTCCGTCGACAACCAAAAAACTCCAATTAAAGGTGGTAACCCCTGACCAACAGAAACTCCATTTAAAGGCCCTCCAAGTGCCTGGCATTGTGCTTCCACAAAGCATTGATCACCTCATGGGTTGCTCTTTCCAACTCTTCAAAGAATTTACCTCGGAAAACCTTGTATTCTATGCTGCATGATAGTTGGCTGAACCTTGTATTAATATGGTCTCAGTTTTCCTTCAATGGCTAAAGATACAGGGAAAACCATGACCCAATCGATGGCAAGCTAGTCCAAGAGGACATCAAATTTGGCTGATAGTGGAGTGGCAGTGAGCCGATGCTATGAGGGGTGGGTTTGATTTCTTGGTTTGATTATTAATTTTATTGAAAGGGTAAAATTGGCTTTAAGAGTATTAAAACTAAACCTAAACTTATGATAGTTGACGTATCATGTTATAGGTCGTTAGATTATTTCAACAACTAAGATTAAACGAAATGCAGGAAAATGTGTAGATTCTAAATTTAGAGGTTCGGGATCCCTCTAACGACATAGTAAAAAAAAAAAACTCTCAAACAATGAGGCTAGGTGAATATCCTTGATAATAATACGAATCCTCCATGATACAGAACATGACCAATGAGGAGCTTATAATCGCCTTCAATTAAGATTTTGGAGTAAAAGTTTGAAAAGATTATCCTTTACATCTGCCCTTAAACAATTTTCTTATTTAGTTAGGCCAGCCAAATCAGGATAGCCCACGAACAGAATGCTCAATATTCTTCCTTCACTAAAAAAAAAAGAAGAAGCAATAGTCACGAATTTTTTGGGTGACTTTTGACAGTATTATACTATTAGTCACCCCTTCAGTTACAAATATTGGGTCAAAATATTTAATTTGGAAGTATTGTAAGAGGAACAGGCAGAGAACTCGGGAGAAGAGATGATAAAAGAGTAGAGAGAGAAAATAGATCTAGGTTTTACATTAGTGGAGATCTAAATAAAATAATTAAAATTGATTATTGTTTAAGTGTTTTTTTTTGGAATTATTGTTTAAGTTTCAGTCACCAAAAAATGTCACTAATTTAATATATTCAAATCAAATATCACCAAAACATTAAAATGTGAGAAAATTGGTCATAAATAATGATGAGGAGTAGAACTCAACAAATAAAGTCTTCAAATGTCACCAAAATCAATTTGGTTACTCTAAAAAGGTGATCCCACTTCTTTTTTTTTTTTTTTTTTTTTTTTTTTTTTTTTTTTTTTGGGTTGTGCTTTGTCTGGGTGAAAAAAAAACCTTCCTTTGTGGATTATTAAGTGAATGAATTGAAGATGTCATTGTCAGGTTTGGTATGACAGA